GCACTCCAAATTCTGATGCCTTAATATTGCCTCAGTCTGCTTGGGATCCAAAGCCCTGGAAGCACAGGGGTTTTTCCCTCGAGGATAATTGGAAGAGTCTCTGTGGGACCTGAATAGCCCCATAGGAAAGACCTGAACATTCTATGCCTGAGGGTGCCCCCATGTAGTCTAGAAAATCATCCCTGACTAAGGCTCAGATGGGACAAGAGGTGCCCAATGAATAGGGGTAATTCACTTTCCATATATTTTTTAAATATCTATTTACTTAAAACTCATAGTTACAAAGAGAGGAAAGGAGGGAAGGTAGGGGGGCAGAGAGAGAGAGAGAGAGAGAGAGAGAGATCTTCCATCTGCTGGTTTACTCCCCAGATGGCTGTAACAATCAGGACTGGGCCAGGCTGAAGCCAGGAGCCAGGAGCTTCATCCAGGTCTTCCGCATGGGGGACAGGGGCCCAAGTACTTGGGCCATCTTCTGCTGCTTTTCCCAGGCCATTAGCAGGGAGCTGGAATGGAAGTAGACCATCCAGGAGGTCAGCTGGTGCCCACAGGGAATACCAACATCTCAAGTGGCAGCTTTACCCACTATGCCACAACGCCAGCCCCTGTACTTTCTTTTAAACATATTTTACCTTGAGAATCAACACATATTGCTTCTTAAACCCAATATGCTCTTTCCACTAAAGGGGACCAATTACCGCAATTGGTGGTACTTGCTTATTTGCTTTTCTTCACCAACTGCTTGAGGAAGCCTAAATACAGTGATTTTATGTTACCTGTTTTTTAAGTTTCTATAAATGGACTTGGCAAGTGTACATTATTTTGTGTGTGGTTTCAGTTGTGTGACTTGTTCATGTGGTGGATAATAATGGAGGCCTGTTTTTTATTACTGCTTTATAGTCGTCCAATGTCTATGAGTATTCCAAAACTATTTTATCCATTACCCTGTTGAGGGATGCTAGGACTGTTTCTAGTTTGGGATTATGAATAGTATGAATAATATCACTATGCTATGCTTATATAATATGCTGCCTCTGCACATGCTTTTCTTTAGGGCAGAGATTGGTAAACTTCCTATGTAAAGGTCCCGATAGCAAATATTTTAGGCTTTGCAGACAAAAGGTGTTTGTCACAACTTCTTAAATCTGTCTGTGAGGAGGCACACATAGACTCTTGTTTTGCACTTCAAGACACATTTTAATGCTATAAGTGATCTATCAATACTTTTATTATCTTTGTCGTGCATATCGATAGGAGCGAGAGTGCCAATAGACACATATCATAGGCACCCAATCCCATTTTTCTTACAAATATTAATTACCCCATATTTCTCAAATGCCTGATACACTAAACCATCTAGTAAAATCCCCTCCTCTGATACACATTCCCATCCAGCAACCAGGAGAGGGTCAACATGTGGCTCATTGTGTGGCACCAAGGGCTCTCTGCTTTCCACTTGCCCCACTAACAGGATCCTTCTTGACAGTTGGCCAATGAATGGTCCATCTCCCTCAATTCAACTTATAACCTGCTCCTTTGGACCAGTTCTGGCACCAGTTGACACAGGTTGGATTGTGTGGAAGCAGACATTGAAAAGCAGGGCATTTATTAGGGCACAACACTTGTGGAGGGCAGAGCCAGAAAGATGTCCAACTGTGATACAGGCTTGAGAAAGCCTTGCCCATCTCCACACTATACTCCAGAGCATATTTATCTATTATCCCACGCTGGGACAAAGGAACTGGGCCTCTATAGCCCAAGGGTTCATGTACCAGATATGGGTTAGCCCAGGAAGGATCACGACCTTGGGCAAGGTGACTCTAAGCCATTGGGGCAAAAAGTCATATCTTGAAGCATCTCCATGTCCACCCCAATGAGGAGCTCAATATCTATCATTTTATCCCCTCTCTCACCTCCATTTCTTCCATGCTCTTCATCACTGAGGTGGATTTACTACTCACCCATGCATCTGGAAGCGAATCTTTTTCTTATCCCTCGAAATGATCTTATCTCCACATTTTAATAGTTTCGTGTCATGGGCATTTCTCTAATCAATCCCTTCCTCTGCATATCTACCTCCAGAGCTCCAAGCCTTAGTGTTTCTCTCCTAGAATATTGCAAAAGGCTTCTAACTTCTATCCTAGCCTTCAGTCCCTATGCCCAATGCAGCTTCATTAAGCAGCTGGAGTAAGCTTTCTAAATATAAATCTGACCTCATTGCTTAAAAACTAATGACTTGGCTGGTGCCGTGGCTCACTAGGCTAATCCTCCACCTGCGGCGCCGGCACACCGGGTTGTAGTCCTGGTCGGGGCACCGGATTCTGTCCCAGTTGCCCCTCTTCCAGGCCAGCTCTCTGCTGTGGCCCGGGAGTGCAGTGGAGGATGGCCCAAGTGCTTGGGCCCTGCACCCGCATGGGAGACCAGGGGAAGCACCTGGCCCCTGGCTTAGGATCGGCGCGGCACGCCGGTCGCAGCGGCCATTGTGGGGTGAACCAACGGAAAAGGAAGACCTCTCTCTCTCTCTTTCTCTCTCTCTCTCTCTTTCTCTCAGTGTCCACTCTGCCTGTCAAAAAACAAAACAAAAACAAAAACTAATGACTTGCCATATATTCACTCCATCGTGAATTCATTCACTCAAAGAGAATTTCTCAGGTCAAATACTTTGTAATCAAAAAGACTCTTCTCCGCCTCACAACTATCAAGCACTATGAGTGCCAGCTTCAGAATATATTGTGAATCCTAGCACTTTCTGACACTTCAACTTCTGGTCCAAAGCCTCATTCTGCCTTATGGCAGCAATGAAATGGCCTTGCAACTGGTCTTACTATTTCTCTATTGCCTCTCTAATGCATTTCCTAACCAGGTAGCCAGAATAAATTTTTAAATGTTGATTGGAGCATGTTTCTATAGAAAATGAAATATACCAACAATTTGATAATCTTGGAGAAGAATATTCCAGGTAAAGAGAAGAGCAAGTATACAAAAGATGCATGCTAAGAGCAAAGCTGGAGCATCTGAGTAACAGGAGGTAGGTCAGAATGATTGTGTCATAGTGAGCAAGGGGGTTTATGGAGGGATGGGATCAGGAAGACCTTGCAGCTCTTCCTCCTGGGACTCCCTTCTCCCACCCTCAAGTTGCTATCCAGTTTCTGGCTCTCATGGTGTATAAACAAGGGAAGGGAGGAGAGATGAAGAGTAGATAAAGCCTTAGTTGAATGGTTGTGTACTAGGCTGGCCCCATGTTCTCTGGTCCTGGAAGATATTAAAAGGTGTCCCTTTCTCCAAAGAGGTGAGTACCAGGGCTCTTCTGGCAGTTCCTGGTTGAGCCTTCCAACTGCAACTCCAATGCACATTTGAAAAAAAGATTCATTCATTTGTTTGGAAGTCAGAGTTACAGAGAGGGAAGGAGAGACAAAGAGAAAGAGACAGATCTTTCATCCACTGGTTCACTCCCCCAGATGACCACATTGGCCAGGGCTGGGTCAAGCTGAAGCCAGGGGCTTCAACCTGACACCCATGAGGGTGTCAGGGCCCCAAGCACTTGTGACATCTTCCACTGCTTTCCCAGATCATTAGGAGGCAGTAGGATTGGAAGTGGAGCACCCAGGCCATGAACCGATGCCCACGTAGGATGCTGCCCTCATAGGCAGTAGCTTTACCTGCTATGCCATAATGCTGGCCCTGAATGCACATTTTCTATTCACCTGACTCATTTCTTTCCTGCAGACTCTGCCTCTACAGGGTCTGCTTCCCATGGATTCACACTGTCAGCAGTGCCCTAACTTAGCTGGTTCAGTTGAACAGCACTTAGAAGGCCTGCAGTTCAGCTCTCTTTGCCATTGCCCATGTCTTGTCAATGTGAAGTAGTCATCTCTTGTTGCCTTGGTTCTTCTGGACTGCTATAACAAAATACCATAGACTGGATGACTTATAAACTTTTTCTCACAATTCTGGGGGCTGGGAAGTCCAAGATCATGGCAGTGGCAGATTCAGGGTCTGGTAAGGGCCAGCATCTAGGTTGTAGACTGCCTACTTCTCGCTAGAACTTCCCAGGAAGAAAGGGTGAGGGAATCTCCCTGGAGTCTCTTCAATAAAGGAACTAATCCCGTTCATAAGGGCTCTATCTTCATGACCTAATGAGGGTTAATATTTAAACATATTTAAACATGTGTATTTTTAGGAGACACAAATATTCAGTCAATTGCACTTGTCTCATCCAACTAAGAATATGCAGGATGTAACTCAGCAGGTTTCTCCCCACTCCACCATCAAAGTGGCCACTTATCCCACTGTTTAGCTTCTGGATTTCCCAAATAGATTCAGTATCCAGGCTGTGGTGAGATCTTCCAACATGCCACCCTCTCCATGTGGTCCTATGGAAATTCCCTTCACTTGGCTTGACGTGAATTTGGTAAATCTGTCCACTGCCAGTTCCCCATCTCTCGCCCACTCACATACACACTCTTTTACAGGGAGATGCAGCAGCTAAAGCACTGTTCAAAAAGCTACACATGCCAGTTAGGAGAGGAGAAGGCTGTTAATATTATGGTCACTGAGTACGCTTTCTACTTAGTTGTTTCAAGGTTAGAAACAATCACTTATCCAATTAGTGGGGACCTGAGACAGTGATGGCTCTCTCCTAAAATAAATAAAAAGGATGATGCTGGAAAAAAGAATTCTGACCCAATTTAAGAAAGATGCTATTAAAGTAATGAGTCAGTGTTTCAAATGACACGTCTAGGAGTTGCTCTGGCCTGTCACACAGCTTTTCTTCCTGAGCGTGAGACCTCTGACACAGGCCACCAGAAGACAGAAATGCAAAAGTGGAGAGGCCCCTGCCCACAGTGACCTCTATCTTAGGATTTCGTACTCACCAAGAAACTTCCTTGTTAGAAAAGCATTAGATGGAAGAATCTAGAGGTTACTCAGGCAGTAGTTACTATTTTTCCCCTGTTGTAATAAAGAACATTTATTTACTCAACAAATATTTGTTTGAGCAGTCCCATGGGTAAAGAGTGAAAGGGAAAACAGTAAAGAATACACTAAGAGGGGGCTTATAGTCTGGTGGTAGTTAGAAAAGAATATTGATTTTAGTGTTATCTGGCTATATGAATTATCCAAAGGAAACACTTAAAGAAGTCTGTCCCATCATCTGTAATATTTTGCAGAGAAATTTGCTTGAGGAATAGTGACTTTGCCTCTTAACAGATGGGCTAGCAAACATTAGGAATTATAAAAGCGGTGAAAAGTTGGAGCGAAACCAGGAAGAAATGGATAGAAATCATTAACAACTAGTATTAGACTTTAATAATAATGTCATAAACTATATTGTATACAATAATAATTTTACAAGTAACATTTATTGAAAACTTACTATATGTCAAACCCTATGCCAAGCACTGTTGTGGATTATCTTATTTAACTTTCGTAACAACACTTAGATAACTGTAACATTTCCCTATTTTATAGTCCTGGAATTTGAGGTGGCAGAGTCAGATTTGAAAATGGCAGTCAGATGCTTAACTACTGCTTCATGCAATCGGGGAGTGAAAATGCAGTGCACAAATACTCTCAGCCATAAATCATCGATTGGACTCAGCTGTAAATGGTATCCATCCTCAGGGTACTAGTGCAGATAGCTCAAGTTATTTGGTCACAAAGAAAGGCTTCCGGTGCTCAACTCAATTTTGTGATTTGTCATGTGTGTAAATGATAGGAATCTACCAGATTTTCTCCTAAAACATATTTGTTCCATATTATCAGCCTCGCCTGCTTTGTGTTTGAAAATCAGTGACATGGCGTTGTAAACTTTCCTCTTACTTGCCCTAAGAGAAATCGTACTGCAAGAAGTAAGATGTGTGAAAGTAGTGGACTTCAGGGAATTGTCTAAGCATCTGGGAATATCAAAGCCTTCATGAGGTAGTCTCACTGCCTGTGGGAAATGCACTGCGCCCCGTACAAAGGAGTCTCCCTTGCTAAGGAGACCTGAGATCCTGTCTAAGAACATTCTTTTGACTCTGGTGATCTCTCCACTGTGTTGTCCTGGAGATTCAGTAAACCTCTCTGGAGCAAGTGCTAGGCACTTGACCACCTGGAGTAGAATTCCAGGGATATCTGCTGGAAAAGAAGCTGAGGACCTCATGCTGGGAGACAAGTCTCCCAAGTTGAGTTAGGTCTTTGGAAAACAACTGGATTTGGTATTGGTCTTTATTACAGTTTCCACAGACTGAGAAAATTGTTTATAAAACAAAAGCCGCACACAATTTGGTATGGTAACATTTTTTAGAATTTTGTTTTTGCACAGCGGAAACCAAGGCCAATGCGGTCATGGTAGAAATGGAGCCAATTCTGTTACCCCACAGCACCTCTCCTAAAACACTAAGCTGAGTAAGCCAGGCCTGACCTTGCCAGGAACAGCCGGCATTGTTTGGCTCTATGGAGAGACTTCCGGGACGAAGAGCTCCGAACAACCACAGCAAGGCCCCACATCGTGCAACAGCACGCACGCGGCACACCCAGCCTCAGATCTCTCACCCTTTCCGGAGCCGGAAAGCCTACCAGTGCTCCTCCCTTCTTCCACTCTGGTGAGAGGGAATCACAGTTATTGTTTCCAGGACAATATGTCGGCACACACAGCTCTCGCCATTCCTTTCTACCAGTGAGACATCCCAGGCAAATGGAGACACCTCTCTTGTTTGCAGTTCTCCGGTTCACAGGCAGTGTAAGGCGCCAAATGAAACATCCAAGTTTCCTGATCCGCACTTTGAGCCAGATCATGTGAAGACTAAAGAAAATCTATGTTTGCTGGCTTCGGGAACAGGACTGACCGACTACTTTTTCATCACAAAGGAAGTGTTACGAAAAAGGCTAATACATGGTGAGAAAGCAAAACCAAGTAGGAAATTGATTAAACTTTGGGGATTGGGAGACTTCCTACTGGCTGTATCTACATTTTCCATGTGGCTGGAATAATTTATTTTCCTTCTTCCTGTCATTCTGAAGCTACTACAGCAAAAACTTTTTGGGAAAGTTCTCATATTTTGGAGGCTACTGTTCTTTAGAAAATGTATGGATAGTTTTTACACGTATGTTCTCCCAGTAAAATAAAAAAAAAGTTTTATACTTCATTTGTACATCTGTGCTTTCCTAGGAACATGATAAAAACTTTTGTACTTCATCCATTTGATTCACTCAGTGGTTTGGTGACTCAAAACTGATCAAGAACCGGTAAGTGTCCTGCCTTAAAGCTTGCGTGCTGTAAGTGGGGGGAAATAGACAACAAATTAGTAAATTTGGAAATACATAACTGAGAGGTGAACCTTTGATGCTGCAGTAAAAGATGTCCTCGTCCTGTATCTGACTGCCCAAGTGTTCAAGTTCTAGCTCAGTTCCCAACTGCAACTTCCTGCTGATGCACACTCTGGGAAGTAACTGGTGATGGCTCAAGTGGTTGAGTCGCTGCCACCCATGTGGGAGAACCAGGCTGAGTTTCTGGGTCCTGGATTCAGCCGTGCCCAGCCCTGGCTGTTGCAGGCATTTGTGGAGTGAACCAAGAGATGAGCAATCTCTCTCTCTCTCTCTTGCTCTCGCTCTCTACCTTTCAAACAAGTTAAATAAATAAATAAATAATTTAAATGGAAATATATAACTTAATTTCCAACATGATAATGCTTTAAAGTAAAATAAAGCATTATGTTAAGATAAGGAAATGGAAAATTAATAGGCAAGATGGGCAGAGAAGACCGTGTAGGAGAAGAGACTTCAACAGAAGGACTAAGGAGTGAGCCATGTGTGGTTCTAAAAGAAGGCAAAGGTTCCAGGCAAGGCCAGTGGCTCAAGGTGAGTCCTGGAGCTGGATGTGACTGAGGTTGGAAAGGTAGGCATAGATCAAGACATGTAGGCATCTGTTCATCGTCACAAGGAATTTAGATTTTATTCCAAGTATCACAGGAATCCTTGAGGGTCTCTGTTGTCAGATTAGTCTCTACTTTAAGAGGGAGAAGGAATTTCATTTCATATATATATCAGCTGGCTTCTGTGCTAACACAGTTGTGAGATCTATCTGCAAATAAGGGAATAAGAAAATAACATGAACAACCAGAAAAAAGTGAAGTGAGGAAAGTTCCAGAAGACAGGGGAAAATCTAAGGTAATAAGAACGCGAATTACAAATATTGGTGGAGTGCTTGCTGTGTGCTCGGTACTATTCATGTTATTATTTCTTAAGGACTCATTTCCTTGTTTTTTATTAGTATACCCTGAGGTCATAAAAGCAAAGTAATGCTGCAGTGCAGAAAGTGAGTAAGCAGAGAAGCCAGGATTTGAATCTAGATTTTTCTGATCTCAAAGCATAAAGTTTAGCGACTCAGAGGATGCAGCTGACAAGACATAACAAGACAAGCAACTGTGTTCTCCAATATTTCCTGGAAATAACAGTGGACTCTGAGTTTGGGTAACTCAATACGTCAGCTTCTGCTCCTGGGAATAGGGTAATATAGCTATAGGACTTGGATCAGATTGGTTGTAGATACATACACAGAAATTAAAGAAGGATGGCATTATATTAAACTCTTTAAAAAAGCAATTCCAAAACACTGCCAGGAAAACATTCAACAGACTTCTTTTTCTTTCATAAAGCATGTTAGAATCTGTCATAATCGTGTCTTACTTGTTTGTTTTTCATTTAGTCCTGCCCAAATGAACTACCCCTGCACTGCAATTGTCTTAACTGCAAAAACCACCCATGTCTGTTCACCAGGCATCTTCAGAGCCTAGCTCGGCATCTCAAACACAGTGGGGACTCAGTTCATATTTGTCGAATGTCATTTCATTTCTTTGCAATGCTTGCCTTAGCTGCTATGTACCACTGCAGACAGCAGGCAGAGATGGCGGGGAATGTAACAAACATCTGGGGTGTTTTGCAATTCATGGCTGACCCATGCTGACCCTTGATTTAATTAAATCTTTCACTTGTGAATGAATCATTTCTTCCATTAATTAAAATAGGATACACATATGTCTCTGTAAAGTATGTGTCAAAAGAAAGCATTCCACCTAAAATATACAGGAGGTGCTGCCCACCACCGTGAGCCATCCATCATCATCTGCTAAAAAGATCGGCCCTGGAATTAGAACCAGCACAATCATCTCTTCTGCCCTCAAAAATATGAGTTGCGGCTTCTCAGCCAATCTGTCAGCTCTGGTGTTAATATAAGGAGTCAGCCTCGTGTGAAGCCGTGAGAGAGCCGTTTATTTTGGAGGGCAGAGCGTGCAGCCCCAGCACTCCAGGACAGCCATCATCGCTAATAGCTGCATGGAGCCCGTGCTCTCTGGAGACTTGTATCTTGACTATGAGACCTGGGAGGCAGCAGGGATTGTGCCATCACAAGACTCACCTTCGCTCCTCCAGTCCCCCCCAAAGTCAAAATGAAACCAGCAAGAATTGATGGTACTGTAGAAGGGGACAAAGCAAGTGTGTGTCCCCGTCGACCCTACAGCCGCCCCCGGAAGAAAGAGCATGCCAACAGCTATTGGCAGCCTTGGCCTGTAGGAAACAGAGTGCATGTCCATGGATCATTCAGAGTAAACCATCCTCTGCCCAAAGTCCAGAGGTCTCAATGAAGCCCCTTAACACGTTTAAGAATCACCACTGGGGATTCTCCGGGCAAGATGGAAAGGAAGGAGGGAGAGAGCATGGAGTAACGCAGCTTCAAAGCGCCTCAGGTCTGCTAAAACCACGTTTTAAGCTTCCTGCGTGGTTTCACACACAGTAATTTTGGGAAAAGCAGGAATTGTGAGGCCTGTTCTCCGAGTGAAGTGTCAGGCTCCGTGGGAGCAGGAATGCGGAACACTCCCCTTGTGTGTTTATGAGATTGTTTCAAAGGAGGCCAAGTGATTGCTAAACCAGTCGTGGCAATTCAAAGTGTTTCATTACTGTCCTTTTATGTTGAATACTGACGGCCCTTTTATTTTTCCTGCAGATGAATCTTGTAAGGCAGGCTCAAGAGCACTGCAGGAATGACTGGGGCCCCTGAGATCGCTGGGATCCCTTCCGGTGGTGGAACGGAGGACTTGCAAAGATAAAGTGGCTTGGCCTGGGCCACGTGGCAGGTGTACAGCAGAGCCAAGCACCCCCCAACCCTACCTCCCGTCTCAGGGTCCTGGGTGCTTTCCCCTGGAAAGATACCTGGTGTGTTTCCTGAGCACACCGCTGGGCGCATGCCAGGGGGTTGGAGCATGGGTTGATTCCAGCAGTGATTCGGAATCGCTTGATGATGCTTGTAAGTACTGAGGAATAACTTAATAGCTTCTTCTGTTCTTTGCGTTTAAGTCATTTGGGTTATTTCAGGGGTTTGACTCAGTTACTATTATTTTTATATGTCCTGGTACTTCTCTCCCGCCTTCGACAACTGTCCAGTACTCAGTATGTTATCTTCCAGGTCAAGGTAGGAACTCTTCTAACTGAAAAGAGATACTTACATAGGAGAGTTCACATGTAGTAGAACTGGACAAGAATGTTAGAGAAATCGTTGTTCATGTGGTGGGTGGAGGACACTCCTGTGTCAATTTGCTCTGGGACCAATGCCACCTTTTATATTTAAAAGCTATTTGGTCCAACATCTTTTCTTTTTTTTAAATCATTGAATCTCTTTTTTATTTCTTTGTAAAAGGGAATAATAGCACCAAATTTATAGGATTGTTATGAGGATACATTTAAAAATTTGAATTTGGGGTCAGCGTTTTGATATAGTAGATGAAGCCACAGCATGCGAAGCCAGTGTCCCATATGGGCACCAGTTTGAGTCCCAGCTGCTCCACTTCTAATGCATCTCCCTGCTAATGCACCTGGGAAAACAGCAGAAGATGGCCCAAGCCCTTGGCCCCTGCATCCACGTGGGAGACCTGGAAGAACCAGCAGATGAAAAATCTCTCTCTCTCTCTGTCTCTGTCTCTTCCTCTCTGTTTGTAAATCCGACCTTCAAATAAGTAAATAAACCTTTCAAAAAATTGAAGTTACTCTTGGAGATCTCATTTATCTGTGTAATGTAATGAAAGATACACATATGCAAATAATGCTAGAATATGAGCAATGAAAAAATGACACCGATGCATTTGCTTTATATTGATCCTAGCTCTGATGATAGGTCATTTTTTTGTTTCTAAAGATTTATTTATTTGTTTGAAACTCAGAGTTACACAGAGAGAGGAGAGAGAGAGAGAGAGAGAGAGCTCTTCCATCCACTGGTTCACTCCCCAATTGGCCACAACGCCGGAGCTGCACTGATCCAAAGCCAGGAGCCAGGAGCTTCTTCCTGGTCTCCCATGTGGGTGCAGGGGCCCAAGCACTTGGGTCATCTTCTACTGCTTTCCCAGGCCATAGCAGACAGCTGGATTGGAAGTGGAGCATCTGGGACTCGAACTGGTGCCCACACAGGATGCTGGCACTGCAGGTGGCGGCTTTACCTGTTATGCCACAGTGCTGGCCCCTTATGGTTTTTCATAAAATGCACTTCTATGAACCTTTGGAAGATCCCTTGTATTTGGCTGTATGGTTTCTTGCTTAAAAGCCTTCCATGAATTCCATGGCCTACAGGATAAAGCAGTACGATCTGGTCTCAACCCATTATTATACAGCCTCATTTCTACCAGCATCATCTCCACACCGTCCATTCCACCCAGGCAGGATGGCCCAGCATCCCCTCAGCAGCCATGTACTTGGCCTGAAGTCTTCTTCCTCCACGTTATCACCTCCTGAATTCCTAGTCATCCATCAAGGCTCAGCTACAATTTCACCTCTTCAACGAAGCCTTTCCTTACTTCACTCCTTTGCTGATAAAACTCTCTGCTCTGAACTTTAATGCTACTTTATTCTTGTCTCACATACAGCATTCACCTCATTCAATTAAATTTGGTTGTACATATGTCTGTCTTCAGCCTAAACCTAGTTTAGCAGACATTGAAAGTCACTCTGTCTCCACGCCTGAGGCTTTTTTCTCCATTGAGTTTCTTTCTTTCTTTTTTTTTTTAACATTTATTTATTTATTTGAAAGTCTGAGTTACACAGAGAGAGGAGAGACAGAGAGAGAGAGAGAGAGGTCTTCCATTTTCTGGTTCACTCCCCAGATGACCTCAACGGCCGGAGCTGCGCTGATCGGAAGCCAGGAGCCAGGAGCTTCCTCCAGGTCTCCCACATGGGTGTAGGGGCCCAAGGACCTGTGCCATATTCTACTGCTTTCCCAGGCCACAGCAGAGAGCTGGATTGGAAGAGGAGCAGCTGGGACTAGAACCGGTGCCCATATGGGATGCTGGCGCTTCAGTCCAGGGTGTTAAGCCTCTGCGTCACAGCGCCGGCCCCTCCGTTGAGTTTCAATAGTCCCTAAAATTATTTTTAACCAGGGTTCTGGGATGCCCCTCTAAACCCTTTAGAGTTGACACCAGAGTAAAACCTGCTTGCTAATCCATGGCTCAGCAATGAGCGCCTTGAGTGCAGGGATCGTGTGTTATGATTCCTCTCTCTTTTTGGAAGTTAATTAAACTGAAAGGGACACACAGGGAGAAAACCACCCCTCCCTGTCTGGTGATTCACTCACGAAATGCCCTGGTTGACAACAGTCAACCAGGACTTGGCCAGGCCAAAGCTGGGAGCCAAGAACTCAATCCATGTCTCCCGCAAGAGCGGCAAGGACACAAATACTTGTAATATTCGTGTCATCATCATCTGCTGCCCTCTAGGATGTGCGTTTGCAGGAAACTGAGTCGCAAGCCAAGGAGTCAAGACTCAAACTCAGGGACTCGATATGGCATGCAGGCAGCCCGAGAGGCATCTGAGCCCCTGCACCACATGCTGACCCCATGTCGTATCTCTTTGCCACCAGCACCTGATGCAAGAACTGGTACTTAATAAATATTTGTTAAATACATGAATGGCAACGTATGGCAGCACTGAGCTATTAAGTGTGAGCTAAGGAATAATTCTGGATTCTGAGAGTATGGAGTCAGATCTAGACCCCCGGTCTTGACATCACATTTCATCCTCTAGATGCTGGGAAGTGTAGACTTTTGTATTAAAGGCAGCTCAGATCTCAGGAATTGTTGCAAAGTGCTTGTGTTCGGGCTGCTAACCAGACGGCTTCTCAACAACAAATGGTCATCGCTCACAGCTCTGGAGGCTGCGAAGTCCAGGAAAACAGCGTCTGGTGAGTCCCCACTCACTGGTCCATGTTCTCACGTCATGGAGGGGTTGAATGAGCTCCCCTGGCCTCTTTCTCTAAGGGCACCAATCCCACTTATAAAGGTTCTGCTCTCATGACCCCGTCTCCTTCTAAAGGGTGTTAATCCTTGATCAGACCAGATACATGGCTTGCAAGTATTTTTATGCCTTTCTGTGCATTGACTCTTTACCCTGTTGGTAGTGTTTTTTGATGAACAAAAATTTAAAATTTTCTTGAAGTCTGACTTGTTTTTTTCCCCACCTATTTGTTTGGCTTAATATCTAAGAAATTATGGCCAAGTCCTTGCAAAATCATGAAACTTTTATTTAATAAATATAAATTTCCAAAGTACAGCTTTTGGATTACAGTGGCTTTTCCTCCCCATAACTTCCCTGCCACCCACAACCCTCCCCTCTCCTGCTCCCTCTCCCATTCCATTCACATCAAGATTCATTTTCAATTATTTTTATACACAGAAGATCAATTTAGTATATATTAAGTAAAGATTTCAACAGTTTGCACCCACATAGAAACATGAAGTGTAAAGTACTGTTTGACTACTAGTTATAGCATTAATTCACATTGTACAGCACATTAAGGACAGAGATCCTACATGGGGAGTAAGTGCGCAGTGACTCCTGTTGTTGACTTAACAATTGACACTCTTGTTTATGGTATCAGTAATCACCTTAGGCTCTTGTTATGAGTTGTCAAGGTTATGGAAGCCTTTTGAGTTCGCCAACTCCGATCTTATTTAGACAAGGTCATAGTCAAAGTGGAAGTTCTCTCCTCCCTTCAGAGAAAGGTATCTCCTAATCATGAAATTTTACACTATATTTTCTCCTAAGAACTTTATTATTTTAGACCATATATAGAGGAATTTGATCCATTTGGCATTTTTTTTGTATATGGTGTTAAGTAAAGAGCCAAATTCATGTGGATATCCAATTTTTCTAGCTGTATTTGTTGAAATGACTGACTTTTTTCACCACCGAGTGATCTTGATATGATTGCCAAAAATCATTTCACCATATATGCAAGGGTTTATTTTGGTCTCTCTATGCAATTCCTTTGGTTTATATGTCTCTCAGTATTCCATTATCTCACTGTTTTGATTACAATAGTTTTATAGTAAGCTTTGAAATCAGGAAATATGAGTTTTCAGATTTGTTCTTTTTTGATATTTCTTTGGCTATCTGGAGTCCCTGGAGATTCCATCTGAATTTAAGGTGTGAATTCTTCCTGTTTCTGTAAAGCACATCATGGAAATCTTAATAGAGATTTCATTGCATGAATCTGTAGACTGCTTTTGGTAGTACTGACATTATAACAATATTAAGTTTTGCAGTCTGTGAACAGGGGATATACTCCCATTTATTATGTCTATTTTTTGCAGCAATATTCTACAGTTTTCATTCTATAGATCTTTCACCTGCATGTTAAGTTAATTCATAAATATTTGAATATTTTAAGTAATTATTTAACGTGTACATATTTTTATTTATTTGGAAGGCAGAGGTGTGGTAAGGAGAGAGAGATCTTGCTCTTCCATCCATTGGTTCATGCCCAAATGCCCTCAACAGCCAGGGCTGGGCCAGTTCAAAGTCAGGAGCCTGGAATTCTATGTTTCTCCCACGTGGGTGGCAGGGACCCAAGCACTTGAGCTGTAATATGCTGCCTCCAAGGACACATTAGCAAGAAGCTGGGTCAGAGGCAGAGGAGCCAGGACTCGAAACAGCACCTTATATGGGATGCAAGCATACCAAGTGGTAGCTTAAACCATTATGCTACAATACCTGCCCCAATATTTTTAATTAATTAATTTATTTATTTATTTATTTTAAGATTTTATTTTTTATTCATTTGAAAGACAAAATTACAGAGAGAGGTAGAGACAGAGAGAGAGGTCTTCCATCTGTTGGTTCACTCCCCAGATGGCTGCAACGGCCGGACCTGTGCCAATCCAAAGCCAGGAGCCAGGAGCTTCCTCCGGGTCTCCCACACAGGTGCAGGGGCCCCAAGAGCTTGGGCCATCTTCTACTGCTTTCCCAGGCCATAGCTGAGAGCTGGATCAGAAGAGGAGCAGCCAGGACTTGAACAGACGCTCATATGGGATGCTGGCACTTCAGGCCAGGGCGTTAACCCGCTGCGCCACGGCGCCGGCCCCTCAATATTTTATTTATTTTGATGTTATTGTAAGTGGAATTGTTTTAGTAACTTCCTTTTCAGATTGTTCATTATTTGTATACAGAAATACAAAATGGAGGGAATTGGAGATTATTTCAAAAGTGAAATAAGCCACACACTGATTAAACAAATTCCACATTTTCTTTCATATATGGAAGTTACTATCTATAAAGATACATGCAGTGCTTTACCGTTATCAATGAACAGTGACAGGAAGCTCAAGGCAGTGTTCCTCATCAAGAATTTCAGAGAATCAGTCGAAGAAAATGAAGAAAAGGCTGGCTGAAGAAAATCACTCTAAGCATCAGTTACCGGTTTCAGTTGACAATAACACATAACAGTTTACTACTGTCATTGTCCAGGCCTACAGATCATTTATGTTGTACTTTCAAATAAATAAAAAAGACATTTGTACATTCCTGATACTGGGAAAAAAGATACATATATAACATGAAATTTTGTGGATGTCAATGAATTATATCCCTTGCTTAACAATATACCCTTCTTTCTTCACTATATGATCGTTGTCAATAAATCCCATGTTATATGATATTAATGTCCCTACTTTCAAGGAAAATAGTATGCATGTGTATGTATATATTCACATATGAAAGCAGTGTGACAGAAATGTTGATAATTATTAAATCTTAAAAATAACAAATAAATACAATTTTAAAGAAGATTTATTTATTTTTTATTTGAAATAGTTACAGAGAGAGAGGGAGAGACAGATAGAGAAAGCCCTGCCATTTGCTGGTTCACTCCCAAGATGTCCATAACAGCCAGTGTTGGGCCAGACCAGAGGCACAAGCCAGGAACTTCATCCAGGTTTCCCGGATGGGTGGCAGGGGCCCAACACTTGGGCTTTCCCAGGCACCTTAGCAGGGAGTCGGATCAGAGAAGGAGGAGCTACAGCATGAACTGGCACCTTTATGGGATGCTGGCAATGCAGGAAACTTCTTTACCTGCTATGCCACAATGTGACTCCAATAAATACAATTTTTTAAAAAAGGTATACACTTGATCTTTGTGTGTTGGCTTTGTATCAGTTACTTTTGTATTTAACAACTGTGCTGAATTCATTCTAACAAATTTTGTGTGTGGAATCTTTGGGTTTTTCTATGTGTAAGAGTACTTCAAGAAGTTTGTGGAAAAACGGAATTAAGAGATGCTTATTTTGGTGCAAACTTTTAAAAAATCCATGTATAAATTTCAATAAATGAATTTTCCATAGACTTTTTGAAGTACCCTTGTATAAGATTTTATTATCTGCCCACCTGCTTTCAGTTTTTTTCTTTATAATTTGGATGCCTTTTATTTTTTCCCCTTGCTTAATTGCTTTGGTTAGAACTTCCATTGCTACATTGAATAGAAGTGACATGTGTAGGCCTACTTTCCTTTTCCCTGACCTTAAAGGCAAAGCTTTGGTCCTTCTAGTGCTGAGAATAATATTTGCCATGGGTTTTTCAAATATAGATTTTATTATGTTGAGATGGGAATTTTTTTTCTATTCCTAGTTCGTTGAATGAATTTTATGAACAGTGCTGAACTGATGCTTTCCTGCATCAGTTGAGATGATCATGTGGGTTTTTCTCTCCCTCAAATCCATTAGTTTCTTAAGTTATATAAAAACAATATGTGAAGTTACAAACCAAAGTTTTAATAATGTTAGCTTTCCCACTTTTTTTTAAAGAAAAGATAAACTAATCTCTTTAATTATATAGAAAAAAGTGTTACGTTGTTTCATAATAATACTAACTTTTGTAATTGTCCTTATATTGATCTTTGTTGAGAACTTTATTTCTTCATGTAATTTCAAGTTACTGTCTAGTGTCCTTTCATTTCAGTCTGCAGGGCTCCCTTGAGTACTTCTAGCAGGGAATGTATAATGGTAATGAACTCCATTGGTTTTTACTTGTTTAGAAATGTCTTCCTTTCTCCCTTACTTTTGAAAGTCAGCTTTGCTGCCTTAAAGATTCTTGGTTAAAAGATTTTTTCTTTTTTTAAAAAATTATTTATTTCAGTGTATTTGAAATGAAAAGAGACAGGGACACAGAGAGATCAGCCATCTGTTGATTCATTCCCTAAATGCCTGCAATAGCTAAGCCTGGACCAGGACAAAGCCAGAAGACTGGATCTCAGGACAGTTTCCCATGTGGGTGTCAGAGACTCAGGTACTTGAGCCATCACCACTGTCTCCCAGGGTGTGGGTTAGCAGAAGCTGGATTGGTAGCAGACCTGGGACTCAAATCAGGCACTGCAGTACTGGATGTGGGTATCCCAAGTAGCTTCATACTCACCGCACCATTCACCCCCAACAGTTTTTCATTTAGTACATTGAATATATTAGCCCCTAACCTTCTGGCCTTTGTTCTAATAAGAAATCTGCTGATAATATTAATAAAATCCATGTATGGGCTAAGTCACTGTTCTCTTTCTGTTGTCAAGTTTCATTCTTTGTTTTTGCACTTTTTTTAAAAAAATTGTAATGTGTCTCTTTGAGGTAATATTACTTGGAGATCATTGAGTCTCTTGGATATTTATTTTTGCGTCTTCCATAAAATTTGGGAAAATTTCAGCCATTATTTATTCAAGTATTTTCTTTGTTTCACTTTCCCTCTGGAACTCCCCAGTGTATATGCTGATTGCTTGATGGTGTACCAGGGGTCTTTTAGGCTCTGCTCTTTTATTCTTGCTATTCCTCAGTGCACTAATTTCCATTGTCCTATCTAAATTCAAGTTGGTGATTCTTTCTTCTTCTTGTTCTATTCTGCCTTTTAATTTCCTAGTGACTTTTTCATTTCATTCACTGCAGTTTTCAGCTCCAAAATTTCTTTTTGGTTTCTTTTTAGGTTTTCTGTATCTTTGTTGATAGTTCCATTTTGTTCACACATTATTATTTTTTCTTTCTCCGTGTCTTCCTTTAGTTCTTTGTACATCTCCAACCTAGTTGCTTTTTTTTAAACATCTTTTTTTTTTTTTTTAAGATTCATTTATTTATTACTGCCTTGAGCCTTGCTGGGAGGAGTGATTCAGTGGTTAAACCAGAGGGGCAAGGATGTGGCTGGGTCTCTGAGAAATCACTGGCTGGGTGGGGTTTCACACCCTCAGAGCTCTTTGGTTGCCCGGGGTGGGTCATTGCAGTGGGACCTGTGCTTACAGTGAGGAGAGTGAAGATCATTTGTGCAGTTCACATGCTGCTTATGAGTATTGAACATACTGGGGAGCTAACACCTGAGCACTGCTCAGCTTGGAGGAGAGGGGGTGGGAGGGTGATCACACCAACAGAGATGATCATCCCACCCCCACTTCTGTTAACAAAAGGAGATCTACTATACCCGACTTGGGTGTTATTCTGGATACTTGCCCCACCCCAGAGCACTGACCGGAGCTCCCTGGACACACCCACCACACACCTGTTGGTATGCACTGAAAGTGCAGACATTCTACTAACCACAGAGGCATAGCTCACAAATAAAGGCCATCAGGGAAAAAAAAAAAAAAAAAAAAAAAAAAAAAAAAAACATTAACTCTGCAAATGCCCAAAAATAAAAGCAGAAATTCAAAACACAAGAAGGGAGACACCATAACTCCTCCAAAGGAACACAGCAACATTTCAACATTAAAATGTGAAGATGAAGAAATTGATGAAATGCTGGAAGCAGAATTCAAAAAATTAAGCATAGGATTACTCAAAAGCAATCAGAAGCAAATTCACAAAATAAAGAAAAATCATACATAACATTAATGAAAATTTTTCCATGAAATTGAGATTTTTTTTTAAACTTTTATTTAATGCATATAAATTTCCAAAGTACGACTTATGGATTACAATGGCTTTCCCCCCATACCGTCCCTCCCACCCACAACCCTCCCCTTTCCCACTCCCTCTCCCCTTCCATTCACATCAAGATTCATTTTCGATTATCTTAATATACAGAAGATCAGCTTAGTATACATTAAGTATGGATTTCAACAGTTTGCTCCCACACAGAAACATAAAGTGAAAAATAATAGATGATTTTTTTAAATGATGATGAAATCAGAGCAGACCTATTGTCATGTTTAATCCCAGTGAGAGTCAAGTTGGGAATTGATAATTTCTTTTTTTTTTTTTTTTTACAGAGGATCAGTTTAGTATGCATTAAGTAAGGATTTCAACAGTTTGCACCCCCATAGAAACACAAAATGAAATATATTGTTTGAGTATCTGTTTTTATCTGAAATTGAGATTTTAAAGAGAAATCAAAACAAAATATCAGAAATGAAGAATTCAGTAGATCAAATCAAATAAAAAGTTCAGTGGAAAGCCTTAACAATAGACTTGGTAAGGCAGAAGAAAGAATATCCAAACCCAAACCAGAGAACAAATTTTTGGAAATCTTTCAATCAGAACAAAAAACAAAACAAAAAAAGAGAGAAAGAGAGAGAGAAATTAGAAAACTTAAAACTTAAAAACAGTGTTGGAGATTTATGGAATAGTATCAGATGACCCAACATATGGGTCTTAAGAGTTTATGAAGGTGTGGAAAGAGAATAGATTAGAAGCAGGATAATCATTAGTGAAATGATTACAGAAATGGGCAAAGGACTTAAACAGGCTTTTTTTCCCTTGTTTTATTTAGTTTATTTTCTTGTTTTATATTTTATCCCCCCCAAGAAACCTTTTATTTAAGGGATACAAACTTCATGCATTTCATAAGTACAACTTTGGGACTATAGTGATTCTTCCCACCATACTTGCCCTCCTACCCACTCTCCCACCCCCTTCCTCCTCCCTATCCCATTCCCAGTCCCATTCTCCACTCAGATACATTTTCTTTTCTTTTTTTTTCCCAAAGATTTAATATTTTTTATTTGAAAGTCAGGGTCACACAGAGGGAGGAGAGTCAGAAAGAGAGAGGTCTGCCATCCAATGTTTCACTCTCCAATTGGATGCAATGGCTGGAGCTGCGCCAGCTGAATCCAGGAGCCAGGAGCTTCCTCCAGGACTCCCACGCTGGTGCAGGGGCCCAAGGGCTTGGGCCGTCTTCTACTGCTTTCCCAGGCCATAGCAGAGAGCTGGATCAGAAGTGGAGCAGCGGAGTCTTTAACTGGTGCCCACATGAGATGCCGGTGCTTCAGGCCAGGGCATTAATCCACTGCGCCACAGCACCAGCCCCTAAGATACATTTTCAATTAACTTTATACACAGAAGAGTTACTCTATACTAAGTAAAGAGTTCAACAATTGGCATTTAAAAAATGTTCCTCAACTGTCAAGACAAGGGCTGTTCAAAGTCATTACATCTTTAAGTTAATTTCACTTTTTTTTTTTTTAGAAATTTAATTAACTTTAAAGAAGCACTCAAGAACGATACATCTTTTGTTAAGCACTTAGACATAATTATAATACAACTCTTTGAGAACAGAGGTCCTGCATGGAAAGTTGGTGCCCGGTGACTGTTAATTTAACAATTAACACTCTTACCTATGACGTCAGTGATCAACTGAGGCTCCTGACATGAGCTACCAAGGCTATGGAAGCCTTTTGAATCCACAAACTTAGTCAGTATTTAGGCAAGGCCATAAGTAACGTGGAAGCTCTCTTCTCCTTCAAAGAAAAGCACCTCCTTCTTTGATGACCATTTCTTTCTACTGGGGCCTCACCCACCAAGGTACTTCATGTAGGACATTTTTTCCCACAGTGTCTTGGCTTTCCATCAGGCATTTTTTTTAAAAGAGGAAATCCAAATAGTCAACAGACACATAAAAAAGTACTCAGGATTACTAGCCATCAGGGAAATGCAAATCGAAACCACAATGAGGTTTTACCTCACTCCAGTTAGAATGGCTTTCATACAGAAATCAACAAAAAACCAATGCTGTTGAGGATGTGGGGGAAAAGGTACCCAAAATGTAATATTTTATTGAGGAACAGTATATATTTTTTTTTTGCCATCCTGTTTGGAGCTTGGCCAACCCAAAGCCAGGAACCAGGAGCTTCTTCTAAGTCTCCAATTTGGGTGCAGGGGCCCAAGCACTTGGGCTGCATTCTACTGCTTTCCCAGGCCATTAGTAGGGAGTGGGTCTGAAGCATAGAAGCCGGGACTTGAATCAGCACCCATATGGGACGCTGGTGCCGCAGGCAGAGGATTAATCTACTATGCCACAGCACTGGCCCCCGACAGTTGTTTCCAAGTGTTGTCTAGCCATCAAGTCTCTTCCATACAGAATTTGTTTATTTATTTATTTTCCCATTTAAATAGGCTACACTTTCCTGTTTCTTCATATGGCTTGTGATCTCTTAGTTGTTGAAAACTAAACATTTTAATCTAATAACATAACTCAGGAAATCAGATTATCCTCCTTCTCTAGCGTTTGCTTTTTGCTTTTTAAAAAACTTGCTTATCATTTTTTATTATTGTAAGCTGTCCTTGTGTCAATCACCAGCTTAAGGTGTAAACCTATGTTTTTCTTAAGTATTTTTCTGAGTCCATAGCTTTTCTTAGGCATACATAATTGCTTTCTAATTTTTCCCATATAGGCAGTTGTTTTTGAATGTACTAGTCTTTAATGTCTGGCTATCAAAAGAGGTAAAAGGTGAAATAAAAGGAGGGGGAGAGCACTGGCCCCTTAAATCCCCTGGAAGTCTCTTCATTTAAAAGAGGAGGAGATTGCGACAATGGAGGGAGCCACAACAAAAATGGCTTTCAGTCCCTTGGTCTGCTGCTCTGTGGGTATAAGCAGCATCCAGCGATGAGAGCATAGGTCTCTGAAATCTGGAATGGAAGGCAGTTTTTCCCTACTCTGACTCCCATCAGCTATGTTCAAGCTGCTGCAGGAGCACAAGCACAGCTTCCTGTCATGAGGCTTTGGGGGTTTGGGGCTTGTGGGATTGTAGTGCTAGTGTGCTAGAAGCTGAAACTGACTGCACCTCACCCCCAAGTCCTCCCCTATACCTTTCAATCCTTCAACAGACGCAAGTTCCAAAATAGTTGCCTCAGATGGATTCTGCATTTGTAATTGTCTAGATGGGAAGACAGATTGCTGGTGTTTGCTACTCTGCCATCTTCCCAGAATCATCCTAAACACAATTGTACCAGAGAAAAAAATCTGGCCTTATAATGTGAGTCAATAAGAAAGTAAGATTCATTTTATGGAAAGGACAGGTATTATTGTTCTTAATAATAGCAAACATTTCTTGTATCTTCCCCAAGTACCAGACACTATCTTAGCTGCTTCTATGCATTATTTTATCTGGTCCACACAACAGTGCTATGAAACTGGCACCGTGACTATCTACATTCTGAGGTGAAAACATTGAATCTCAGAAAAGTTGCTACACAACATTTCACCTCCAGTAAATAACAGAAGCGACATTCAAAGCAAGATACCTGCTGAACTTCAGAAGTTGTATTTTAAGTCATCATGTTATAGTATCTCATGAGAATCCATACTGCTCGCTCTATTCATGTTAGTCAGCTCTTCCCACAATAATGTGTGTAACACCTTCTTCAAAACTCCATGGCCTAAAACACAAAGGTATACATATCAATTGTGATTTAGTTTTGATTTGGTGAAGCTCAGCTCGGAGGTTTTGAGTTTATATTTGCTCTTTTTCTGTTTATTTTGTTGTCCAGGCTAAAGAAGAAGTAGCTAACCAAGGCATCAGTATCTCAAGGCAGATCACAGGGCACAAGGTCAAAATCAAAGGAAGCAAGCACATATAGAGCACATGCCATATCCACAAATATTGCATTGCCCAAAGCAAGTTGCATGGCCAGACTCAACACCAGCAGGGGAAGAAGATGAATGTCCATAGTGGGGAAAAAGAGAAGAGCAAATATGGACTATAACACAAAATATGACATTGTCCTTTTATCTCTTTGTTTATTTTATTTGAAAGGCAGATAGAAAGAGAGAAGGAGAAAGAGAGAGGGGAGGGGGAGAAAAACAACGAATCTTCTATCCGTTGGTTCACCCTCAGATGGCTGCAACAGCCAGAGCTGGGCCAAGGCAAAGCTAGGAGCCAGGAGTTTCCTCCGGGTCTCTCATGTGGGTAACAGGGGCCCAAGCACTTGGGCCATCCTCTGCTGCTTTCCTAGGCGCACTCGCATCAAACTGGATTAGAAGTGGAGCAGCCGAGACTGGAACCAGCGTCCATGTGGGTGCTGGCACTGCAGGAGGAGGCTTAACCTTCTGCATCACAACATCGGCCCCATGTTTGTTTTAAAGCCTAAGAAACTTATTCCTTTTCATTTAGGCAGGTATTATTTGACTTTGACCCCTTTGTAAATACACAAAACTCTGAAGCAACTTCTAAAGATTTCAACTCTCCTAGATCTTATTTCCTTGGGTACCGAGTACTAAATGTGGTGATTGAGCTCTTCAGAATGGTACCATTGTTGGTAGATCTCAATCCACACTACTCTTCACTTTGTTCCCTGCCAAGTTCATAGAGGTGTTTATATTTTTTAAAAATCCTGTAATAAAACTTTGATTTCCCCAAGAGCAATGTATTTTCAGAAACCCAGAAATTCTTGTGAACAACTCTTAAATAATCATAGAATAAGGTCAAAGAGTTTTACAATGGCCTTAAGAGGGCACTTAGTTCAAGCTTCTCATTTTACATGAGGAAACAGTTCCAATTTCAAACTTCCAATTATCATATGTAGTGGGCCACAGTATTTTTTTTTTTGCTAAAAAAAGGAATGAGAAAAAAATTGGGGGTGACCTTTGGACTTCTTATTGTAACTGTAATTCTGTAATGGAGACCTGTTCAGCTTGTTTTTTATGAGAATCCTCATATGACCTGCTAACTTTATCACTATAACCAACTTCCCTGATTGCCTATGAAAACCAAAAATTAAATCTTTCCATTTCTTTTTGTAATCTTGAGGATCTTCTACATTGAGACGCAGCAGAACAAGTTGAGAGACATCTGGTCAGCAGCTCCAGCGCACTGAGGATGCCAAAGGCTGTTTTCCGGAGGGGAAAGGAAAAGAGAGGTATGAAGCCCAGCTTTCCAGAAAGAGAATTACAACCATTTTCCCAAATGAAAACATTTCAGCATCTAGCCAATATTTTCCTCTGCTAGAGCTGTAGAGTTAGAATGGAGAGAATGCTGTGAGTGAGGGTAGGAACAGAGATTGGGAAAAGTCTAGGGTAAAAAGTAGAATTCGTTGTACCAGTATCTATTGAACTTCCCATTTGCAAGCTGTATGCCTAGGCACTATGGTTTTAATATGAGCAAGACATGGAAAAACACTGTGCTAATAATGCTTCTGGTCTAGCCCAAACACGAAACTAAAGTGTCATTGAAGGAAAGGTGTGTGGTGTCATGGTCATGTGCAAGGGAGCAAAAGGGTAGAGTTTAGGACTTTACTGGAAGGGCACAAAGAAGGCTCTGAAGCAGGGGAATGACATTGAATAACTGGGTTTGCATTTTAAAAGGAACTCTGGCTATATTCTCAAGAATAAATTACAAGGGCTGGTGCTGTGGCTTAGCTGGTAAAGCTGCCTGCCTGCAGTGCCGGCATCCCATATGGGCGCCGGTTTGAGTCCTGGCTGCTCCACTTCCGATCTAGCTCTCCGCTGTGGCCTGGGAAAGCCGTAGAGGATGGTCCAAGTCCTTGGGCCCCTGCACCCACATGGGAGACCAAAGGAGGCTCCTGGCTCCTGGCTTTGGAGAGGCCCAGCTCTGGCCGTTGTGTCCATCTGGGGAGTGAACCAACAGATGGAAGACCTCTCTCTCTCTCTCTCTCTCTCTCTCTCTCTGTGTCTCTCTCTGCCTCTGCTTCTGCCTCTCTGTAACTCTGCCTTTTAAATGAATAAATAAATCCTTAAAAAAAGAGAATAAATTACAGAGGGGGAAAAGAGAGAACTGGGAGAATCTAAGAGAATGTCACAGGGGACAAAAAAATACAAATTTGGCTGCAAATCCAAATATTCAGTCAAGTCAGTGTAGGTGATTTAGCGTGAACAGCCCAGGTGAGTGTGTGCATTTGTGTGTGTGTGTGTAGTTGCATGTTCAGATATTAAAGAATCTTGAAGATCCTCTTTTTGATTAAATACATACAAAATATACACCATGACATTTTAATTACATAGCACAGTGAGGTGATTGCAATATTCAAGCAAGTTAACATACCCAGCTCCTCACATGGTTACCCGTTTGATGGCAATACTGACTGCGCCCATTGCTGGCCGTGTCGCTCACTACAGTCCTCGTGATGCACAGTAGCTTTCTAGACTCATTCATCCTACCGGCCTGCACGATTAAACCTGCCTCTCTGCAACTCCCTGCCCTTCCTCACTCCACTCCCCACTGCTCTACTCTCTGTTCTGTCTTTTGGACTCGACTCCACACGTCAGTGAGTGTGCAGCAGCTTTCCTTTGGTGTCTGGTTTAATTCACAGCTATCCAGGCTCAGCCGTGTTGTTCAAATGGGAGTCTCTGAAGGGCCTCTCTCATCCCTCAGCTCGCCCAGGACTCCCAGGAAGCTGCCCAGCTCTTAGGTGAGTGCTTTGAGATCTGAGAGTATCTCCTGGGCATGCTTGTTAAAAAAGAGCGGCAGGGCCGGGGCTGTGACACAGCGGGTTAAAGCCCTGGCCTGAAGCGCCAGCATCCCATATGGGTGCTGGTTCTAGTCCCAGCTGCTCCTCTTCTGATCCAGCTCTCTGCTGTGGCCTGGGATAGCAGCAGCAGAAGGCCCAAGTCCTTGGACCCCTGCACCCACATGGAAGACCTGGAAGAAGCTCCTGGCTCCTGGCTTCAGATTGGCGCAGCTCTGGCCATTGAGGCCATCTGGGGAGTGAACCAGCAGATGGAAACTTCTCTCTCTGTCTCTACCGCTCTCTGTAACTCTTTCATCAGATAAATAAAATAAATCTTAAAAAACACACAAGAGTGGCTTTGGAGTTGATGCTGTCAAATCGGTCACATACATTTAGTTCTTTCTTCCTAAAACCTATCGTCACAAAGACAAAGAGCATGTGGCAGGAGAAACAGCCAAGCCTTGAAAATGGAAAGGCTGTGAAAGACTGGGGGCTGGCCCAGCAGACCCAATCAGGCTGCTCATGGAGTCTGCAGTGCAGAGACTCCAAAAGCATTGTGGTTGACACCTACAGTAGTAAAGACACCCGGTGGTACCTGGTGCCTGTGGAAGCGAGAGTGAAGGTGGGCAGAAAGGATTTTGGGGGAAAGAGTTCTAGGAGCAGGTAGAATCTTAGCCACACCCCTACACATGGCCATACGACTCTGTCTCCACTACAGTGAATGAGAGAGGAGCTCTATTTTCTGGAGACAGTGACAATGGGATTTTGAATTGAAACTGCCAGGGAGAGTTGTGGTATGGGAGGAGTCGGTGATGAAAATAGAGAAATGAAAGGCATCTGGGTGGCCTGGTTGTGCATTTGGACCCCAGGCTTCTTCCCACACTCAGTTCCCAGAACACATCAGCCAGGCGTACTGTAGACCTCTTTATCTGCAGGGAATATATGCCAAGCCCCTCAGTGGATACCTGAGACCACAGCGGTACTGAATTCTATTGATACTGTGCTCTTTCCTGTACATAATACCTATGATAAAATTTGATCTATATATTGAGCACAGTAAAAGATGAACAATAATAAAATAGAACAATTATAAAAACATACTTATAATAAAAGGTATGTGACTGTGGTCCCCCCCCCCCCAAATATCTTATTGTACTTTCCATTAAAGAAGACACTTAGTGACTTCTCTTTGGCATATCCAAATTGTCATCATCTCTACTCTTGCTCTTCAGGGTCATTATTGAATAAAATAAAGGTTATCTGAACAAAAGCACTGTGATACTACGATAGTTGATTTGAAAACAGAGAGCTTCCAAGTGGCTGATAGAGTAGCATATACAGTGTGAATACACTGCTCAAAGAGATGATCCAAGTCCTGGATGCTACGAGATTATTCAGAATTATGTGCAGTGGAAAACTTAAGGTTTGTTGATTTCTGGAATTTTTCCATTTAATATTTTCAGAACATTGTTGACCATGGGTACTTGAAACCAAAGATAGTAGAAGCTTGACGAGTCTTCTCTGGGGATATGACCAAGCCAAGAGAAAAAACTTAAATTGAGGATTCCCTAGGAAATAGTTAAGTCATTCAAAGGTACTTTTAAAAGTTTGCGCTGCAGCTCACTAGGCTAATCCTCTGCCTGCGGTGCCAGCACCCCGGGTTCTAGTCCCAGTTGGGGTGCCGGATTCTGTCCCAGTTGCTCCTCTTCCAGTCTAGCTCTCTGATGTGGCCCGGGAGGGCAGTGGAGGATGGCCCAGGTCCTTGGGCCTTGCACCCGCATGGGAGATCAGGAGCGGTACCTACCTCCTGGCTTCGGATCAGCACAGTGCTCCAGCTGCAAAGCACCGGCTGTGGCGGCCACTTGGGGGGGGTGAACCAACGGCAAAGGAAGACCTTTCTCTCTGTCTCTCTCTCTCTCTCTGTCCACTCTGCCTGTCAAATAAATAAATAAATAAATGTTTGCAGAGTTAAACTAGCGTGCTAGCTCACGCTTGAAATTGTCACAATGGCCAGAGCTGGGCAGATCTAAAGCCAGGAGCCAGGAGCTTCTTCCGGGTCTCCCACATAGGTGCAGGGGCCCAAGCACTTGGAACAAAACTGTTGCTTTCCCAGGGTCATTACAAGGGGGCTAGATGGGAAGTGGAGCAACCAAGATTCAAACCAGCACCCGTAGGTGATGTTGGCATTGCAAGTGGTGACTTTACCTACTATGCCACAGCGCCAGCCCTGTGTTGTATCCTGTTAAATTATGTTGAAGACCTAACCCCAAGTAATTTACAACATGACCATATCTGGAGATAGGGTCTTTTCAGAGGCCATCAATTCAAAATAAAGTTGTAAGTAGGGTGGGCCCTAATCCAATATGAGTGGTGTTCTTTTTTTTTTTTTTTGACAGGCAGAGTGGACAGTGAGAGAGAGAAAGAGAGAAAGAGAGACAGAGAGAGAGAGAGAGAGAGAGAGAGAGAGAGAAAGGTCTTCCTTTACCATTGGTTCAACCTCCAATGGCCGCTGTGGCCGGCGTGCTGATTTGAAGCCAGGAGCCAGGTGCTTCTCCTGGTCTCCCATGCGGGTGCAGGGCCCAAGGACTTGGGCCATCCTCCACTGCCTTCCCAGGCCACAGCAGAGAGCTGGACTGAAAGAAGGGCAACCGGGACAGAATCCGGTGCCCCAACCGGGACTAGAACCTGGGGTGCCCGCACTGCAGGCAGAGGATTAGCCTAGTGAGCCACGGCACCGGCCATGAGTGGTGTTCTTATCTAAAGGGGACAGTGTGATGCAGAGACGGACACAGGCAGACACATACGCGCGGGCGCGCACACACACACACACACACACAGGAGGATGATATGTGAACACGGAGGTAGAGATTGGGGTTTTGCCTCTAATCCAAGATGTGCCAAAGAGTGTCAGGAAACCAGAGAAGCTGGGGGAGAGACCCAGAACAGATTCTGTAGGGCTTGGTTCTGGCTGCCCTAGGAAACTGATAGCCCTGGTATACGGTGGCTCTTAAAGGAAAGAACCATGGCTCTGAATCTTCCTGGGAAGGAATGAGGAAAGAAAGGAAGGGAAGGAAGAAGAGGGACTGGCCAAAGTGTCCTGGATTTACTGTAACAGCACTGCCGAAACTGCCTTTGAACAAGAGGCATTATGTTGCTTTATTTAATGATTTCATAACTGGACATAGTTATGTATATCCATACCAAAGAAAAACAGAAAATCCTTCTTCAAATCTCTACCTGGGAAAGTAGCTAACTGGTAATGTTGGAGTGATTAAAGCATATTGAAATTAAGAGTAGATTAAAAATATTGTGTTAGAGTTTGATTGCTCTTTTTCCTAACCAAGTAAGATAACCGCTTTGGGAGCAGGCCGTGTGTTATCTTCTGTCTCCCTTGGAACTCGGGGTCAGGGAGACGCTGAACGAGGACAGTAGGACAGTGCTTCCTGGATTTGCTGGGGAACATTTAGAAAACTCTCCAAACGTTGGCCCTCTATGCAAGGAGGCAATAAAGCCAAAGCTGCCACTTGTGCTCTGTTCTCCTGGCCTCAGGGCCCCAGGGCCTCAGGGCCCCAGGGCGGGACACAGAAAACGCACCCAGCCTCATGATGACTCAGAAGGTTAAAAGTTATTAACTGAAATCAATTGAAATCAAAAAGGTCACATCTGCCTCAGTATAAAATTCCCTTGTCCAGACGGCGTTGGCTTGCACTGCAGGGGCTGCGTGCGAGTACACACACACACACACACACACACACACACATTCTCACTCTGTAACCCTGGGGGAGAGCAAAGCAGCTGCAGAAGCCAAAAACCTCCCCAGTCCTAATTAAACCCTCAAAGTTTCCAGGCAACACAGCCAAGGAAAAAATCATTTCCACGCCGAAGACCTCCAGCCCCCAGTCCCAGCAAAGGAAACGGGTCGTTTGGTTTAATCAGCCCACGTGCACATTCTCTCTCCCCAGGTTGCCAAGACGGGGCCTGTACCTAGCAGAGGTATTTGTGTAATCAAAGCTTCTGGAACTTTCCCTGCCAAGGCTACCAATGTGAATAGGCTCCTGAGGTAACAATGTTCCCCTGCTGGGGACGGCGCCCTTGAAGTCTACATCAAAATCAAGCCAGGGTCACAGCTGTTACGGCACCCCACAGTGGAAGACTTGCAAGAAATCCAGCCTGTACTACTGCCTTGCCTCCGGTCTACAGGAAGCAGGCCCCAGTTCCCTGAGAGAGGGGAATAGAAGGAAACCAAAGGAGGTGGGGGGAGAGAAAGGGAGAGAGAGAGAGAGAGAGAGGGAGAGAGAGAGAGAATGCGTTCAAAATAAGCCAGCCAAAGCCCATCTAACTGGTACTCTGGGGCAAGTAGACGAACCCCGTCAGGGACACTGTCCCCTTCACCATGGCATCCTACTGCCACCACAGTCACCTGGATCCCTCTGAAGGGAGATGGAAGTCCCCCATCGCTGGTTGGCTGACAGCCACTAGGTGGCAGCAGATTAACTCTTCAGATGCCAGAATGGGCCCAGAGACATCCGCAGTGGTCTGAACACTGCATCTGGTCACTTCCTTCAAAGGAAAGGAATAAAGGATTCCCCCCTGGACCTAAGGATCCTGGCTTACAGGGCAGATATTGAAAGAAAACTCATGAGGGGAAGATTGGTCCCTGGCATCCACTTGTGTGTGGGGCTTCAATCAAGGTGAAATGTGATTGTGTATCAGGGTACTTCAAAAAGTTTGTGGAAAAATAGGATGCAAAGATGTTTGTTTTGGGGTGAAAAATTTGAAACCCAATGGGTCTTCGAGAAATTCATGTAAAATGTGTATTATGAAATATTATGCAAGGATTTCAAAATGCTTTGCTCCGAAATGAACTTTTCATTCCAGTTTTGATGAACTTCTTGAAGTCCCTTGGTGTGCTCCAGGTTTTATGACTGATGACACGTGCTTCCCACTTGATTCAAGAGACTAAATGATCCTGCAGGAAATTTACAGCCGTGTCTCATGTTAAAATTCAGTTCCACAAGTGGTAAGTATGATCATAACTGAATGTGTCCCCTTTTCCAGGGACAGTGCTAATAGGTCCGGGCCCCTTGCTATCAGGCAGCTGATGAGAGAACAAACGGCACTCACAGAGGTGACCACTCTGGATAAATGCAGGAATCCACTGAAATTTGAGCAAAAGGAAAGCCCTCAGAAGGCTAAGGGAAAATAGACGCTCGGAGCTGGCCTGACATGGGGAGTTTTGTGGTTTTGGGTGAGCAGTGGCCTCAAGTATGGGAGCCACCAGAAAGAACGTTTGCCGGCAGGGGTTAAAAGTGCTT